CGCCTTTCCCTGGATTGCTGGATGAGCTCGAGCTCCACGATGGAGGCGGCGACGACGACATCGCTCCTCTCGCCGTCTTGGACAATGATGGCGCGAATTCAATCGAGCTGGCCATAACTATCCGTGGGAAGATACTCGGGTATGAGGTGCGGGAGGTCCTGTGGACCATCTCAGGAGCGGCGGTACGTCTTAGCAACGGGCGCGTCACAAGAGCTGGCCTGCTTACCTCTTATGCACATAAGATATTTGTTGAAATGCGAGAGAGAGAGAGAGAGAGAGGAGGTTATAGGGTGGGGCGGTGGCCCACCTGTCATAACGGTCAAAATAAATGAAGTTGACATTTCTACCACATCAGGCCTCACGGGTGGGTTCCTCTTGTCATAAATATGGTTAACTCATCTAAAACGGTCATTAATCATTTTCAGTAGTTTTTAGGCACAAAAATAGAAAAACCGGTAGTTTTTATCAAAATTTTGAAAGTTGTAGTTCAGTGGGATGATGACCCCAATTGTGGTAGTTTTTTCTTTCAAATACTCCATCTAGGCCTCACCAGCCTCGACCGCAATATGAGTTTACCTTAACATGAAGAGCTCCACCAGCCTGCTCATGTCTGGTATCATGGCCCCCTAGTGGCTGCATTGCGTTATGTAGAGTGGAGAGGAAGCTTGAGGAGTTGAGCTGGTAATGAAGGAGTCTTCACATCATCCTTGGTCTAGGCGGTGCCTTGGTTGGTGGCGGAAGCCTCGCGACAGCGGTGGCGGGTGGGGCCGTGCAGCGTGGCGGCACAGGAAGGAGGTTGTGCAACCGTGTACAGGGAGATGGATTGGGTTTTTCAGGGTAAAATCAAGATTATTCATCAAAGTTCACATGATGTAGGATACATTGTGGGTCATGGGGTTGGCCGGACCATACGTGGCATCCTGGACTCCGGGAGAGAGAAAATCTAGCTAACATATGTGCTTCACAGTTGAGACAACACAACCTTCAAAAGAAAATCTACATTGAAGGAGAGTAGCTTTGAGATTGACCACTCTAATAATGGCACCATATCTCGTAGCCGACACCCTTGAGGCTGAATGCAAAGCTTTGACACACACTGGTGCGATGTTGTGGATGCGGCGGTTGCCTTTGTTTCATGTCATGCATGGATCATGGAGGGCTAGTTTATTCTTGCCATTGTTGGGCACAGTGGCGGAGACATGACCCAGGCCCCCAGGGCCAAGGCCCGTGGCATGTGGCCCTACTCCTTTGGTGATTGTAGCGACTACTAAGGACATGAGACCCATATCCAGGAACATTGCTTCAGTACGGCCAGAGGTGCCGCTAGCCTGGCTCCGCCCCTTGTTGGGCGTGCGTGGACCGTGCAAGGCGTCCAGTATTCTCTCCTTTTTCGTGTGGTTGAGGGGCAGACTTGCGAAGGTGGACGAAGGGAGGAGCAAAATAATTTTTTAGGAGAAAGGAAACCTATTTTTTGGTAGTAGAGATAGAGATATGCCATTAGGTTTTCTAGTAAATCTTACACTCAAGAATGAAAGCAACTATAACATAGAAAAAAATACGAACGTGAAAATAGAATAACAACAACTTTGTAATTGCTTCTGTCCTTCTGGGTCATATTTTCAACATGACACTGTCGTCGAAGAATTCAACTATTAAGTTATGAAACAAAATGTTGCAACATACATACATGATTACATATAGTTCATAACTATATCCCCATGCTTTTTCTAATGAGCTCAAGGACAAGAAGATGATGGCGGCCACTGCTTTGCTCCTGCTCCTGCTCACAAGCGTGCTAGCAGACAAGCTACTGGATGCATCCAGCTGCTCGTGTGCTACCTTAGCCGGTGCGCTGCTGGCCTACAAAATGCACCATGACCAGCGACACGTGAGATGCAGCCCAGCCAGCTGCTTGCCGATGCAACGATGCCGCCTTTCCCCGGATCGCTGGATGAGCTCGAGCTCCACGATGGAGGCGGCGTCGACGACATCGCTCCTCTCGCTGTCTTGGAGAATGATGGCGTGAATTCGATCGAGCTGGCCATAACTATCCATGGGAAGATACTCGGGAATGAGGTGCGGGAGGTCCTGTGGACCATCTCAGGAGCGGCAAGACGTCTTAGCAGCGGGCGTGTCACCGGCATGCTTCCCTCTTATGCACATAAGATATTTGTTGAAATGCGAGAGAGAGAGAGAGAGAGGAGGTTATAGGGTGGGGCGGTGGCCCACCTGTCATAACGGTCAAAATAAATGGAGTTGACATTTCTACCACATCAGGCCTCACGGGTGGGTTCGTCTTGTCATAAAAATGGTTAACTCATCTAAAATGGTCATTAATCATTTTAAGTAGTTTTTAGGCACAAAAATAGAAAAACTGTTAGTTTTTATCAAAATTTTGAAAGTTGTAGTTCAGTGGGACGATGACCCCAATTGTGGTAGCTTTTTTCTTTCAAATACTCCATCTAGGCCTCACCAGCCTCGACCGCAATATGAGTTTACCTTAACATGAAGAGCTCCACCAGCTTGCTCGTGTCTGGTATCATGGCCACCCAGGGGCTGCATTGCGTTATGTAGAGTGGAGAGGAAGCTTGAGGAGTTGAGCCGGTAATGAAGGAGTCTTCACCTCGTCCTTGGTCTAGGCGGTGCCTTGGTTGGTGGCGGAAGCCTCGCGACAGCGGTGGCGGGTGGGGCCGTGCAGCGTGGCGGCACAGGAAGGAGGTTGTGCAACCGTGTACAGGGAGATGGATTGGGTTTTTCAGGGTAAAATCAAGATTATTCATCAAAGTTCACATGATGTAGGATACATTGTGGGTCATGGGGTTGGCCGAACCATACGTGGCATCCTAGACTCCGGGAGAGAGAAAACCTGGCTAAGATATGTGCTTCACAGTTGAGACAACACAACCTTCAAAAGAAAATTTACAACGAAAGAGAGTAGCTTTGAGATTGACCTCACTAATAATGGCACCATATCTCATCACCGACACCCTTGAGGCTGAATGCAAAGCTTTGACACACACTGGTGCGATGTTGTGGATGCGGTGGTTGCCTTTGTTTTAGATCATGCATGGATCGTGGAGGGCTAGTTTATTCTTGCCATTGCTGGGCACAGTGGCGGAGACATGACCCAGGCCCCCAGGGCCTAGGCCCGCGGCATGTGGCTCTACTCCTTTGGTGACTGTAGCGACTACTAAGGACGTGAGGCCCATATCCAGGAACACTGCTTCAGTACGGCCGGAGGCTGCCGCTGGCCTGGCTCCGCCCCTTGTTGGGCGTGCGTGGACCGTGCAATGCGTTTAGTTTTCTCTCCTTTTTCGTGTGGTTGAGGGGCAGACGTGCGAAGGTGGACGAAGGGAGGAGCAAAATGATTTTTTTAGGAGAGAGGAAACCTATCTTTAGGTAGTAGAGATAGAGATATGCCATTAGGGTTTCCAGTAAATCTTACATTCAAGAATCAATGCAACTATAACATAGAAAAAATTATGAATGTGAAAATAGAATAACAACAAGTTTGTGAAAATAGAATAACAACAAGTTTGTAGTTGCTTCTGGCCTTGTGGGTCATATTTTCAACACGACACAGTCGTCGAAGAATTCAACTATTAAGTTATGAAACAAAATGTTGCAACATATGTACATGATTACATATAGTTCATAACTATATCCCC